TCAACAGTAGTGTGGTAATCTGCCTAGTAGACACCTCTGATCCCCTAGAGGTCATCCACTTTTTTCCTGGTCACTGTCCCTTTTGTCTATAACAACCTTGCTCTTTCTGCAGCTCTCTGGAGCTCCTTTCTGGTTTCTAGATGGAATGCCACTTGATTCATTCATTGTTGAATAAAGCCAGTTTGATTTTTAAATTTACTCATTTGAATTTTGTTTCTTAACAACATCATCATGTTCTATAAAGACACTGAAAAGCTGAATTAGCAAATACAGGACCATTGTTCTTACCAGAAATAGGTTAGGTTTCTTGGGGCCTCTAACCACATTTTTATCAACCATCAATTATATATGGTCTTGAGGTGGCACTAATGGTAAAGAACCTATCTGCCAATGCAGGAGACATAGGAGACACAGGTTCAATTCCCTGGGTCAGAAAGATTCCCTGGAGGAGGGCATGGAAACCCATCCAGTATTTTTCCTGAAGAATCTTATGCACAAAGAAGCCTGGTGGGTTATGGTCCACAGGGTCATGAAGAGTCAGACATGATTGAAGGGACTTAGCATGTATGTATGCATCAACATATAACCTTGTTTTGTGAGTGTTTCTATTTAAAGTCACCTTATTTAATATATATTTCTAACAAATAATTGAATGCATGGTCTTTCAATGATTTAAAGGCAAGACTTTGGAGGCCATTTGTGTTGTGTGGGTTCATTTGCCAACATCCTTGTAAAACAAATTTATTTCATCAGCAGTGCAAACTTACTCTTCCATAAAACCCTTTTCCTGTATAACACTTAGCAGGTTTTAAAAAAAATTTTACCATAGCCTCTTGATCTGCAGAGCCAGCCTTGCCTGAAAATTTAATATTTTTCATGCCCTTACTGACTTTTGAAATATTTGAGCCAGCCAGCACTTGCTGAAAAGATTTAACATTTTCCTGAGTCAATGTGACTATAAATTTCTTTATCTTTCAAACCTCACAACAGTGCTGTCAACTGTGCTATTTTATTGCTTGTCATCTCATGAATCTATAAATTTAGTCCATCTTTTCTATAACTTTATCACACACTATAAATGTTACTTTAGCACTTTTTGGAGCAGCCTCATATACAGGTCAGCTAAGTTTCTCTTCCTTGTTCTCAAGGTGTAAGGTATTGTTGATTCATTAGCATGGAACTCACAACCAAGAACACTGTGACTCATGCCTGAAGGAAGCTTACCTAACACACATATTTTCTCCATAAGACACATTCCAGCCTTCTGGATCCCAGAAATACTACACAGCACTTCAACACTACATTTGGGAGCCATTTAAAAAGTGAAATCAGGAGACTATCTCAAAATGGCAGAGTAGAAGGACATGCACTCATCTCTTCCTGCAAGAGCACCAAAATCACAGCTAGCTGCTCAACAACCATTGACAGGAGGACCCCAGAACCCACCAAAAAAAGATACCCCACATCCAAAGACAAAGAAGAAGCCCCAATGAGATGGTAGGAAGGGTGCAATCACAATAAAATCAAACCCCATACCTGCCAGGTGGGTGACCCACAAAACTGGGGAACAATAATACCAAAGAAGTTCTCTCACTGTTGTGAAGGTTCTGAGCCCAATGTCAGGCTTCCCACCCTGGGGATCTGGTGAAGGGAAATCAACAACAAAAACCACAAAATACAACAACAAAAAAAGTGGCATTAAATGAAACACACAAAGGATATTCGTTTGCAGTATGAGAGCTGAAGCTGGAGGCAGAACATGGCCTTGTTCAACCTCAGCTGAAACACACTCATCAAATGACTCAAATTTTTTGCAGTTCTGCACATGTCTGCAAATGACCCTAGAAATGCAATGATCATTGACATTGGAATTACAAATAATTTTTGAGAATAGGTAAATTTTCAAGTACGGAATCCATGGACAATGAGAATGGATTGTACCTAGTAAAAACAGTAAGATCAGACTTCCCTGGTAGCTCAGTGAATTAGAATCCACTTACCAATGCAGGGGATAGGGGTTCGATCCCTGGTCCAGGAAGATGCCATGTGCCATGGAGCAGCTAAGCCCATGTTTCACAACTGCTGAGCCCGTACTCTTGAGCCTGGGAACCACAACAAGAGAAGCTACCACAATGAGAAGCCCACACACCGCAACAAAAGAGTACAGCTAGAGAAAAGCCCGAGCACAGCAAGAAGACCCAGCTCAGCCAAAAATAATTACATAATTAAAAAAAATAATAAGATATATCAGTATGTATTTGCATAGCAGGATGCCCCTGGGATGTTTTTAAGTGAAAAAAGACAGTTATAGAACAATATGTATAAAGGTTATAAAAAAAGTGAATGCTTATACAGGCCATGCAGGTAACATAAATGATGGGGTTAACTAAGGGAAGACATCTGGGAAGAGGAGGGCTAGGAAGAGGAGCACTTACCCCAGCTGCAGGGGGCAGCCCACTGCTCAGCAACAGTCAATTGTTTTCAGGCAGAAGTAGGCACCCAGTGATGACTTATCTCCAGGTTTTTAAGATTTTCATGAACTATCCCAGTTTAAAATGTTGATGACTATTTCCAGTTTTCTTTTATTTCTAATATTTATATTATTTATTTATCTGGCTGCACTGGGTTTTACTTGCAGCATATGGGATCTAGTTCCCCTGCTGCTGCTAAGTCGCTTCAGTTGTGTCCAACTCTGTGTGACCCCATAGATGGCAGCCCACCAGGCTCCCCATCCCTGGGATTCTGCAGGCAAGAACACTGGAGTGGGTTGCCATTTCCTTCTCCAATGCATGAAAGTAAAAAGGGAAAGTGAAGTCGCTCAGTCATGTCCGACTCGTAGGGACCCCATGGACTGCAGCCTACCAGGCTCCTCCCGTCCATGGGATTTTCCAGGCAAGAGTACTGGAGTGGGTTGCCCTGACCAGGTATCAAATCCAGGCCCCCTGCATTGAAAGTGCAGAATCTTAGTCACTGGACCACCAGGGAAGTCCTCTATTTCAAATTTTAAAAAATTCTGTGTGAGTCAAACAAAACCCATTATAGGCTATATTTGGCCTACAAGACTGTGTTCCCCAGTGTGTGGTACTATATATGAGAAAAGTACACATATAAATAAGAAAAAAAAAAGTCTCACATTCACTAGACCATTCACAATGGTTACCTTGGAGTAGAGAAAAAAGCAGCATTGTTGAAGTCATGGAATAGGTATTCAGTCTTTCTAAATTGTTTGAGATCTTGGACATGGAAGTGTAGTAATGTATTATCTACTCTAAAAGGAAGAAAAGAGCCCTATGAATTAAAGGCCAAGGAGTATTAATCTGTGGTCAGTGAGATTGGACAATATCAGTGTTCTCTGCCTTGGATTGCAAAGATTATATTTCTAACTTGCTTTTTTTTGGACCATGCTGTGTGGCATGTGAGATCTTAGTTCCCAAACCAGGGATCAAACCTGCACCCCTGCACTGTCTTAATAGTCACTGGATCACCAGGGAGTTCCCTCTGACTTGCTTTTTCAGTTACCATTGTTTTACTTATTTAGGGAATGTTTGTTTTCAAGGAATGGAAATCCATTCAAAATAGCTCTAGAATGGGACTTCCCTGGTGGTCCAGTGGTTAATACTCTGTGCTTCTAATGCAGGCAAGCGCAGGGCTTGTAAGGGCACAGAGTCTGAGTCTGGTACAGATGAGAGCACCACCATGTTCCACTCACTCTGGAATGCACACGTCTTACCTTTCAGTATCACTGAAATCAGGATGCATCTTTGAGGTGACAGCATATCAGAGTGTAACTGGCAGTTTTATTCCCTTTCTCAGAGGTACATAAGTGGCAGGTTAGATGAAATATGTTCATTTCTTTAGGCTGATGTGTATCAATACATCCCTCAGTACCCTGGGCTCAGAAATGTTCTCACAGAAGAGGCGCTCCCATCTCCTATGGGAACTACCTGTAACAAGGAAAAGGGATTAGAGAATTCATAAATCAGGGAGGTCAAATCTCCATTGTTGATAAGAAACTTTCCTTAATTATGGGGTTAATATGGGGCTTCACCAATGGCTCAGCTGGTAAAGAACCTGCCTGTCAATGCAGGAGCCACAGGAGATGTGGGTTCAATCCCTGGGTGGGGAAGATTTCCTGGAGTAGGACATGGCTACCCACTGCAGTATTCTTTCCTGGAGAATCCCATGGACAGAGGAGCCTGGTGGGCTACATACAGTCCATGGGGTTGCAAAGAGTTGGACACAGTTGAAGCCACTTAGCATGCACTCACGCATGGTTAATATGATCATTCATTGCTTATAGGTATCAGTAACTGCAAATGTTTGCTAAGGTCAAGTGCAAGGTGTGAAACAACAGTTCTTTCATGTGTTCATGGTGAGTAATAACTTTAAAGAAGGCAGAACTCCATGCTAAAGATTAATAAATACCTCATCAAAAAAAAAAGAAAAGAAAAATCCTGATCAGCTTTGATGAAACAATTTTAACAGCATGATTCAACTCTTTTTTTTTTTAAAGTGTGTATGAGAGTGTTTAACCAGTATGTTTCAGGTGCATGTTTATATTAAGATCCCAAATTGTGATGCTCTAAAGTGTAGTCTTGATTTCTTTTTTTTTTTTTTTGTATTTTCAAAATTGTAATTAGGTATTACCAAATAAAGTAATAAACAACTCTTAATTTAGAGTGCAAAATAAAAGCACCTCATTATTTACAAGGTGCAAAAGCAAGAAAATACAACATAAACTTATCCACATTTTTAAATAGTTGTCTGTGTGATGAGTAAATGCCATTTAAAAACACTTTCAATAGAAAAATGATTTTTAAACCAGTTTACAGAAGATAAAAAAAAAACAATGTTTAACACCAACTTTAACTATAAATAACTAAAAAGAAAATTATCCTCTCTTCTGTTTTTGCTTCAACATTTATGTCTTCTGCTCTTTGCCTTTTGGAGAAAACACTGCATTGTAAGGCTGCCGTCTTTTTGGACGAGGACAAGGATCAAGGTCTTCTTTAATGTAACCTCTTTCCATACAAGTCTGAGTAGAAGGAAAACCAACTTCCCAGAAATTCTCTGGTGTGTTGGGTGGAATGTAGCGAAATCAGTGTCTTGAGCAGGAAGCCAACTTCTTTTCTTTTTCTTCTGCTGGAAAATCTGCATAATAAATTTCACATTCCTTACATGTGTGTCCAAGTAATTTTCTTCTCTCTTCTTTCTTCCGAACCACCTCAATATGAGGAAAATTCTGTAATTCAGTCTCTCTATCATCACCTTTAAAATATGGCTCCACAAATGCTTTCTGTTTGACTTTATCTTGTTTATCACCAGGACTGTTTGTTTTTTTTGTAGTAGTTGACAATTCCTTCTCTTCATCTGCTACCTGGGGGAAGCTCTCTGCCAAACAGGACTCATATTCTTCTTGTGTCGTCCGATCAAACATGTCTTCCAAGCTATCATTCATCTTTCTTTCTCCATTTGGACTCTCTTCTTCCTTCTGCTTCTTCAGTTTTAAGAGCATGGTTTCACTAACCAACGTACAGTCCATGTCCACCGTCTCTCCTGCTAATCTTGACTGACTGCCATCCTTTGTATCATCTACAGTAACATCCGCTTTATACTGAGAAAGGTCTGCTCCTGGATCTATACTCCACTGGATATTTTCAAAGGATACATCTTGGTTGTTTTGTAGAGGTTTTGTTTTAGCAATTCTACATGGATTTAACTGAAGAACTGATGCAACTTCACATGCTCCACGGATGGATCTGGTTTTTATCTTTATAGGCTCATGAGAACCAGCACCCTAAAACAGAAAAAATGATTAGCATCTAGGAAAATTCACAAACCATCATTTTAATCAAAACTCTTGAATACTGAACACATACCTTTGTGTCATCAAAAAGATTCTCTGTCTCCAGCCTTTCACGTGGACGAAGAGGGATTTTAAATACTGTGTTTTCTTCCTTTATTTGTAACAGTGTTTTATTATCTGGAGATTTACTCAAGGACTGGAAAAGGGACTCCTGTAAACAGGGCTCTTCTGGGGAGTCTTTGCTTGGCTCACAGCTCCTGCTCAAGGCCTTGCAGCTTGAGGAAGAGTCCCTTGGAATGGGCTTCAGAGTCTCATAGAGAGTCACTTGCCTAAATCTGATTTTAGAGTTCTCACTTCCTTGGCTCTTCTCTTGACGTTGGATAGCTGAAAATCGATCAGACAAATCCAGAGGTTTATCCATCACATAGTCTCCATTCATGGAAGAATGACTATCCAGTGGAAAAGGAAAAGCATTTTCTTTATCAAAGGAGGCTTGGGGACAGATTACTTCATCTTCACTTTCTTCCTCAATTTTCTTCCTTTTGGTTCTGCCTCCCAGTGACTTCAGGGGTACCACATGTTTATCTTTATCAGTATCTTTAATGTGATCAATACTATCCTGCTCACTTAGGGGTTCACTTGTATTTTTATTTATAAGCATCTGCTTATTAGAAGATGACTGATTAGGGATCTTGTTTACTTCAGTCCCAAGAAGATGATGTGTGATAAGGGCTCCGTCGTCAGATTTTGATCTAGGTTTCTCTAGTCCAGAAGCACAAGTGTTGCTGAGGGGCACTGTTTTCAGGTGGGTTTTTTTCCCAGTCTCTAAAAGAGAAGGGGACAAACTTGTATTCAAACCTAAACTACTTTTCACATTAGAGGTAGCTCCAAATACAGGAGATGATACCCGAGTAGTCAATTCTTCTTGAAGAGGAGTCTTTGAATCTGAAAACCTTAAATTATCTTCACTATTTCTTCTACATCCCTCAAAACCTTGTTTTTTGTGATCTCCTTCCAGCCAAGAGGGCTCCGAGGGCCTTGAGATTCAGATTCTTCTTGAACACAATGTCCAAGTGTTTCAGCAACCACTGTAGCTAAACTATCAGGAGGATAACTGCTTTTTCCATGTGGTTTAGCCACTGGAGCTTGACTCTGATCACAAGTGTCAGCCACTAGAATTTCACTTTCCTTAGGCTTATGTTGTGGATGAGCTGAAGACTTTGGTCCTTTTCTCAATTCATGTGCACAGCCAGAGTGCTCCAGTTTAGCATGTGTTTGCTCTACATATGGGACGCGGAGGTTCTCCTTTCTTCGCAGCCGATTAGTGCCAGAAAATGAAAAGGTTGTTATTGGTGAATCTGGAATAACATCTTCCTCGGATTCAAGATCAGTTGCTTTATGTGGCTGATCATTCTAAGCTCTGTGATAAGTTTAAGATTCTGCTGCCGAATATTTTCAAACTCTTGTTGCTTCTTCCGCATATGTTCTTCAGTTACTGCACAGCGATCACACAATCCTGCTCTTAATCGATCTTCTAACACCTTAATGGTTTCATGAAGGACTTTCTGTTGCTCTCTCAGCTGTTGATTTTTGGTGAAGAATTCTTCTAGTCTTTGTGCGTCTAAAATTCGTTCCTTTTTCAGTTTGGTTACTTTCACTTGTAAACCTTGTACTTCCTTATCATGATACTCCTTCAGTTTTGTCCAAAGATCCTTGAAATCATTAGATACATCTGCAGAACTAGGACTTCCACAACTGCTTCCTGAGAGGTTCATCTTGCTTAATATGCTCCACGCTTCTGTTGGTTAATGTTTCCTGACCTTTTCTGTTACATTATATAGGTATGAAGTTGCCTTTGGCCAGTTTAAATACACAGGTGAGGTAAGAGCGGCGCCTCGGGGTCATACAAGGGTTCTGAACACACTGAACAGGGACTCTGAATCGTACTCTCGCGGGCAGAGCAGAGGTCCAGAGGTTTCCATCTCAGCACCCTTAGCCATCAGCCTCTTCTCCCGCGCCTCGAAGGGCTGGTGGGCCGCCCTCGGTGAAGCGCTCCACAGGACTGGCGCGGAGACCGCGCGGGGCGACCCCGGGCACAGGTCGACGCATGCGCGGGGCGGGCTCACGCCGGCAGCCTAGTTCTCAGCTGGTGAGGCGACCCAAGAACTGCACCGAGCGGTACCCCGTCCGCGCTCGGGTCCACCTCCCGCTGAGTTTAGGCATGCCCCAGCCCGCTCCTCGACTCAGACCCAGGACCAAACAGCCATCCTCACCCCCGGGCCAAACGCCTTCGGTCAGCCCGCAGCTGCGGACCGGAAGTAGTCGCCAGGACCCAGCGCTCCGGGTCGGGGGAAAGGGATTCCTTCTACTCACAGCTTACAAGACGGCCTCGAGATTCTCCAAAGCCCCCAGCTGGGAAGCAGGCACGCTCTGAGACTGGAGAGTCTGAGACGGCCGTTTGCTTTTCTCCTCGCTCCCTCACTAACCTACCAAACTGGCGGCGGCCAAGCAGCCCCCTCGGGGCAGCCCGCGCTTCGTAGTCTTGATTTCTAAATCCTCACTACTCAAAGTGAAGTCCTTGAACCAGCAATATGGGATAACACTTGGGAGTCTGCCAGAAATGCAGAACCTCAGGCCCTACTGAATCCGAATATGTATTTAAAATACAAGCTCCAGGACTTCCCTGGTGGGCCAGTGGCTAAAACTCCATGCTTCCAATGCAGGGGGCCTGGGTTCGATCCCTGGCCAGGGAACTAGATACCACATGCCACAAGTAAGACACCAAATAAATAAATATTTTAAAAAAGAAAATGTAAGCTTCCACATCAACTGCTAAGTGGATAAACAAAACATGGTGTATCTGTGGTGTGTGTGTGTGTGTGTGTGTGTTAGTCACTCAGTCTTGTCTGACTCTTTGCAACCCCATGAACTGTAGCCCGCCAGGCTCCTCTGCCCATGGAATTCTCCAGGCAAGAATACTGCAGTGGGTTGCTATTCCTTTCTCCAGGGGATCTTCCCAACCCAGGGATCAAACCTGGGTCTCCCACATTGCAGGTAGATTGTTTACCGTCTGAGCCACCGGGGAAGCCCTGGTACAACCATACCACGGATTATCATTCAGCCTTAGAAAGGAATGAAGTTTTGATATATGTTACAACATGGACAAGCCTTGAAAATATTATGTTAAGTGAAAGAAGCCAGGCAAAAAAGGCCACATATTGTATGATTCCCTTCATATGAAATGTCCAGGATAGGCAAATCCATAAGACAGAAAGTAGATTAGAATTTGCATGGGGAATGGAAGAAGGGAGGCATTGAAATTCCCTGCTAATGAGTAAGGGGTTTTTTGGGGGATGATGGAAATTTTTTCAAATTAGGTAGTGGTGATGGTTGCCCAACATTGTGAATATACTAAACCCTACTGGGTTGTACACTTAAATTTTTGGAATGTTACGTTACATAAATTTTTATCTCCAAAAAGTTTTAGAAGTAAAGCCACATCACCTGAAACCTTTAAAAAAAAATCATGTATTGCTTCCTTTTGTTCCCACAGGATAGGAAAAGAAAATGCTGCTTAAATCATTGTATTAGAAAGAAATGCCATCTGATATTTATTGTTCCCCAAGTAGTACAGCTTAAAAATCTTTGGGATTTATTTTGGATCTTCCATGTAAGTGAATGTAAAGTAAAAATTCCCCTATAAATAGAGTGTTGTCATCAATGTCCTTGAAAGAAAAACAATCAAAATAATAAGTGTTTAAAAGTAAAATTTAAAAAAGCTTTCTCCCCAGATGATTCGTATGTATGTTCAAGTTTGAGAGCATTGCTCTAAATCCCGTCTCCTGGACTACAAGACCTCAGAGTCCTTCCCCACCCTCACCCAGGAAATTCTTCCCTTTTTTCCATAAATCTCAGATATGGCACTATTTCTCTTGTTTTGCGCATCCCACATCCTTCTCCTCACCCTGGCCTGTCTGCAACGGCCTTGATTCAGAGAGCTGCTCCACCAGGCAGCATCACCATTGCCCGTGGACTAAGAGAGGATCCGCACAGTGATAAAGAACTCACCTGCCAATGCCAGAGACACGTGGGAGAGGGTTTGATCCCTGCATCAGGAAGATCCCCTGAAGGAGGGCATGGCAACCCACTTCAGTACTCTTGCCTGAAAAGCCCCCACGGACGGCGAGCTGCAGTCCGTGGGGTCCCAAGGAGCCGGGCATGACTGAGTGACTGAGCAGGTACATACACACACACACACACATACACACATCCTTGCTCCAGGTCTGGGTTGCATTGCTTCACCTGTGCCCTGAAGAGAAATGCCAGTGGCCAAGATCAAGGTCAGCCTCTGTGAAACAGTTCTGTCCTTTTCTTGGCCTACTGTAATGGAAGAAAAAATAAAGCAGATACCACACCATTCCTTAAATTGTCTTCCTCACTTCTTCTCCGCCCCAGGCAACTCTGCGTCAAAAATCTCCTCTCTCATTTGAATAAAAAAAGAAAATACACCTGATGCCCATACACTTAACAGAAAATGCAGTAAGGAAAGAAAGGAAGGAGCCTCCTATTCTCCCCTGAGATATCCAAACTCTAGCTTCTGCCCAGCCAAAATTTCCTATCACACACATACACACACACACACTCACGCACACACACACTGATAGGTAGTAAGATATCAACAATGGTTTTTAATGAGTGATAAGATTTCTCTCTTCTCATTGAGCTACATTTCTAGTGTTTCAAATAGTTTTTCATATTACTCACATACTCATAAAAATAAATAAAAGTCCTTTGTTAGAGAAAATAAGAAACTCCCCACGGTGATGGAATATGTGATTTCAACACGCATTTTTAAATAGAGAGTTTCTGTCTTGTAGAAGTTAGCCTCTGAGGGTCACAAAGCCCTTCTCAGAAGGTTCACAGTGCACAGAAAAGTCTTTTTATAAGGGCTGTCGGGTTACCAGAGACAGGAAATGAAGTTGGTTTCCAGATCTTGGCAGGGGGTGTGGTGGGGAGGCCCTCTAGAAACCTTGGGCTTCCCTTCAAATGAGGACATGCTGAACTCCATCTTCAGTAAAGAGGGGGTTCTTAAAAGAAATACCCCATTACTATATACCAGTTGGTGATAATCCCTGCCTGATTCTTTTTATCATGTAGACCTAGGCATTAGATGTTTTCTTTTGAATTTCTACCAAGGAGCTGAATTGGTTAATTATCCTGGAAATGATTCAGCTTAAAAGGGTTTAGCTTTTTTTTTTTTTTTTTACTATTTTTTANCTTAGTCAAGAAAGGACTATTTACTGACTCATAAAAGAAACCTTCAGGGTTATTTCTGGACTCAGTAACCAAAGACTCAAATATTCTCAGGACTGCCTCAGGGCTCCTGCTCTTGGCTTTCCTCTCTCCGTGTTTACCTCATTTCTCTCAGACTGCAGTTGGGCTTGTGAGAGACGCCACTGCCCTGCAAATTCACATCTTCTCATTTTCAATTTCAAAGAGGGAAAGGTCTTTCCCTTTTGGTTTTAGCTTAAAAAGTCCCAGGGAAGGTCCCTCATAGACTCAGCTTGGGTAACTCGCATGTTCCCTGACAAATCGTCATGTGAAAAGTGACCCAGTGCTGTGACTGCCTCAGGGCTGGTTAAGTTCCACCTCTAATCCAAACCCAGAGACAGAGGTGGCCTAATAACGTGGCAGTTCCCATCTGAACCACTAGGTGCCGTTTTCTAAAGAAAGATCGGGACTCAGCCGGTAAAGAATCCACCTGCAATGCAGGAGACACCGTTTCTATCCCTGGGTAGGGAAGATCCCCTGGAGAAGTGATAGGCTACCCACTCCAGTATCCTTGCCCGGAGAATCCCATGGACAGAGGAGCCTGGCAGGCTACAGTCCATGGGATTGCCAAGAGTTGGACACAACTGAGTGACTTTCACTTCCTTGTGGTCCAGTGACTAAGACTCTGAGCTCCTAATTCATGGGGTGCAGGTCTGATCCCTGATCTGTGAACTAGATCCCACATGTCATGACTAAAAGGGTCCCACATGCTGTAATTAAGACCCAGTGCAGCCAAATAAATAAATTTTTTAAAAAGAAAGAAAGAAAGATCAGGTGCCATTGCCCATGGAAGGATAGAGTGCTGGTAGACAAATGACAAATACTACATATAAATGGAATTATATTTCAATAACTGTGCTGCCACTCATAAAAAAATTTCCATGATAATAGCATTTAATGACAGAATAGTATTTTATTCTATTCTGGAATGTAAACATGATGTCTGGAAGTGACTATGAGGATAAGAGCCACACACTAAGTTTGGCAGAGCAGGAAGACAGAAGATGCCAGGATCCTTTTTTTTTTAAGTGTTTGGCCTCACCGTGCGGCACATGGGATCTCAGTTCCCCAACTAGGGATCAAACCCGTGCCCCCTACATTGGAAGTGTGGAGTCCCAACCACTGAACCGCCAGGGAAGCCCATGCCTGGGTCCTTGATGTCATCCCAGACTTCCTGCACCAGTCCTGTACTTCTTGATACATGAGAAAAATAACCCCTGATGTGGCTAAACCACAATGGTCAGGTTCCTCCTACCCATGGCCAAGTGCAGTTCCTTATAAAAGGACTTCCAGGCAGCCACTAAAAGTAGGCCAGGGAATTTATCATGAGTGAGGGGGGAGGGAAATGATAATAAGAACCCCAGAGAGGTTGAAAGGGAAGCTGAAACTTGGAAAGTACAGCCTATTTATGTTTTGAACTATTAAAGGAAACTGACTCATAGAGCATCCACGAGGCAGTCACAATAGATGGAAATGGCAGCCACAGGTGAATTGAGCAGAAAGAGGGTTCGAGGTGGCACCCAAGGCTTCTTTAGTGCTATGAAGCATGAAGGGCTTCAGAAGTCCCTACGAGCTCCCAGTGAGGCGACTGAGGTAGCTAAAGTTGGAGCTAGGAAGCATCCTAAAGGACCACCACCATACCCAAGACTCCCGGGCAGCAGCCGAAGCAGGCAGCAGAGAAAACAGAGCTTCAGGCTTGAATGGG